CTTGCTGTGTCTTGTACAGGCAGGCAGAGCTTCATTTGTCTTTTCTGGCAAAGTGATTTCCACAGCCAAAGCTGATGTTGCAATGGCACACTGGTCTCAACTGTTTTCAGTGGGAAAGGATGTGTAAGATGCAACAATTGAAGCACTGGTTGGCCATTTGATGTCCCCCTATGTATGAATGGTCATTACTGTTCTTTCTGTTGTGGCCAAAGATAGTTGCATAGGCAAACCCACAATGCAAATAACTCTATGTGTATTAACTGAAAGCTAAATCTTATGGAGAAGACAGTTACTGAATGTAGTCCACGAGAGGGCATGTGCACTTCGATGGATGGTGCAACCTTTTCTGTACATTTGGTAGAACTACTTGAGAAAAAACTTGTACTGAAGGGAATACAGGTTTGGAAAAAGGCAGCTGTTATGCAATCTGGTGTTCCCCTTGCAGAGCTGTGGATTTGATTATGTTCTTGGTGGTCCAGACCACAAATTGGAAAGGTAGCCATCCAAAAGTTTGACCTTTCAGTTTAGAATGAAAGAAGTACAGTTGTACAGCAAAGTGGATGACTGGAGTAGGTTGTCGCTGCCACTGTAACAGCTACTGGTGCGACCCCACTTGCATACAAAAAATAGACTGAATAGTCATGGTTCTAGTCATGGGAATAATGTGGTGCTTTCTAAGTGTCTTTAAAAAATACTGTCATTCTTTTCCTTGTGAAGCTATAAGGAATAATTCAGATCATCTGCTCCTCTCTCTCATTGCTCACTGAATAACACAGATGAACTCCCAGACAGATTCACAGACACGCTGTTGATCAGCCTGGTTTCTCCAGGGATCTTAATGCTAAGTGGTGCAATTTTCTTTTCCCTTTGGAATTAGACAGCATCCTTTGCAATGATTTCAAAGTTTGGACTGCTGTATTTTAGAACAAGGTGAGTACTCTGATAGTCCACTTATTTTAATTTTTGCTTTTCTCTCCTGACATTTGATTTTGCAATTTAGATCATTTCAGAAGATCTCTTTAATTTTATTTAATAATCTAGTGTTGCGTATTGGTGGGGGAAAAAATCCGTACCTTAATTCTTGATGGTAAGAAACATGTCACTTTATGGTGAAAAGTAGCCTTCTTCAGTCTGATGCCTTCCAGACATGTTGCTCTTTAGTTGATTTTGGATATGCTGGCTGGGAAGGGAATTGAAGTTCAATACATCCGGTGAGCATCAATATACAGAGAGCTGCTTTGTTTTGTTAATGTTCTCACAGAATTTAAGACGGGGTGAAAAACTTGCTGTAGGCACCAAAACGTTTTTTCTTCTTTAGGTTGATTTCATACTACCAAATTTCCCCAGCAGCTCCAAGATCTTGAAAGCAAAGTAGTACCACATAACTGATGTAGGTCCCTTAGCAATTTGATACTGGTTCCAATCCATGCTGTCTACTGTCAGCTACAAGAAAGTGTTAGTGATGGAAGAAGATTACTGGGTTAGGGAGAGAAGCTACCATTGCAAATAATTGTACTTCCTATAGAATAGAAGGGGAAAAAAATTCTTTGGGGAAGGTAATAGCAAACATCAGAAAACTTCCTTATACTGTATATAGCTCCACAACTTAGAAAAGATACTGCTGTCATCTCCTCTAACATTTGAGGGCTATGATTCATTTTGGTTGAACAATTGGTGCTTGTCCATCATTGGGCTTGGTCAAGGCAAGTGGTAACTGCTTACTTCCTGGACTATCTTAGTAGATATTTTCCAGATATGGAACTGATATAGTGTGTGCTTGCTATTTTGTAGTACAGAACAGACTATCAAGCTACAACTGGAACTCACTTCATTGGCTATACAAGCATTTAGCTATGATTTTGTTAAGTTTCAGATATCCACAACATCAATAATGTTTTCAGCTGTTTCTGTACCTAAAGTAAGAAAAAAACACAGAGTTATTTTAAATAAAAGCACAGATTCATATTCATGCGTCATTTGCAACTCAGTAGTCAAACTGGAAAAGTCATCTCCTGCTTGCTATTAATTTATTACCTTCATTTCTTTCCTTTTCCTTTTTTGCTTTAATTAAAATAGCATTGTAGCAACTTCATATGCATTGATTATACCTAATGATTTCCTATATAAATCTAATCCTTTCCAAACTTTTGGGTTTTTCTTTTTCATTGTAACCTTTTTAATGTTTTCATTTTTAAATATGACTATTCTGTTCAAAGATTTGGATAAAGAGCCTAACAATGAAATAGATTTACTTAGGTGACCTCATGATGAACTCAGTTCTCTGTTAAAGTCTCCTTCTAAAATAACTTCATTAAAGAGATGAGACTCTTGATTTAAAAAGCAATTTGCATGAAGCATGATCAGGGTGAGGGAAGCTAATAAAATTAATATTTTTTCTACAAAAATAATATGTCCCTTAGCAGAATAATCAACAATTTCTTCTACTGCAATAATTTAGAGCTACACTTACATATTTCTGTCCTTTTGAGATTAAGCACAAGAATCATCTGTGGCACACAGCAACATATGGAGATGCTTTTAAATATTGCTTGTGTGGGATAATTAAAATCTTTTTTTAATATATTTCATGAATGCTACTAATTTGATAATCAATACTCAATTTTTATACTACTGAATATATTCATTATTTTGTAAAATCATTACAAAATAACTTAACTGATATTAATCTGAAATCAAAATTCAGTGACTACATGCTGTTTGTTTTATTATGGCTCTTTGAAGAGTTTGTTGCTGAATAGTTGCTTTCACAATATGTGAGGAATCATTTAAGCTGAGTGTGGAATTTCAATAATGTTTTTGAGATTCATATAGTTCATCTGTTGTTTTCAGAAACTGGGCATTTCTGCAAATGGCATTTATGTATTATTTACAACTCTTTCTTATTCACTCTCTCCTCATCACTCAGAAGACCTTTGATCATATATGCTTGCACCATATTACTGTATTTACAACCACTCAAAAAATCTACTCTAAGTGGTTATCCATCATAGGGTGGGGATATAGTAAGATTTTTTTTGTTTTGGAGGAAGCTGAGTGAAGGGAGTTTTGTTCATTTATGACTTAAACTGGCTAAGAAGTGATCCAGTCTTAGATGTGATCCAGCACTGGCTGACATCTTTTGTAAACTAAGGATGCCTGAAGAGAAGTGCAAAAATATAGATGATCCCATGACAGAGGTGCTAGGAGTATCAGAATACATTCTCAAATTAAATACATCATGAGTATATTCCAATTTCATTTAAGTATATGTTTCAAAGAACTGAGAAAATGAGAAATAGTGTAGAGAAATGAAATGAACAGAAAGTATATGCCTCAAATATTTTAACCAGTAATTCTGCTTTATCATTAACAGCTAATCTGTAGGTTTTGAATGATTAGATATTAGTCTCCTAAAATGGTTGTTATTTCTTATATCCTTGGTAAGGTTAGTACTCTCCATATTGTATTAGGAAACTGAATTTTAAAAAGTGAAGAAAAAAAGGAATACCTGTGTTTATATTTATATGCTGTATACCAGAATGGATAGATGAGTTGAAACAGTATTTCAATATGATGGTTCCTAGCTTCAATAACCAACTCTGCAATTCACCTTTCAGCTCCAATAGAAGAAGGAACAGTTCCTAGCCCCAAGCAGAATGTTGTGTTCTCAGCTCCAGGCAGATGACATACAGTTCCCAGATCTAATCAGAGCATCCTGTTCCTAGTTCTAAGCAATCAATTGTAGAACTTAGAGCTTTAGCAATCAATTGCACAACTACCAGCTCTGAGCAATCAATTGCAACTGTCCTATTAAACTTATAATTAGCATAATATTCAAGTATAAGATATAGCAGAAATCTATGTGGACTTAGATATAGGAGGCACTGTTCGCTTGTTTACATTCTAATTACATCCAGTCTACCTTTAATGTTTTATTTTATTATCAAATAATGTAAGGAGGGACTAATTAGTTTCTCACATTAGATAAGTTATTTCTTTCACACAAAGATGCATAGACCAAAGTTCAGTTCTTATACAGGTAGTCCTCATTTAGTGACCAGAATTGGGACTGGCAACTTGGCCGTTAAGTGAAGCAATTGGTAAGTGAAACTGTGACTGTACTTATGATCTTACTTCAGCTTTCTTTTGCTTTACAGACCTGTGAAGGTCGTAAATGCGAAGATTGGTCATAAAGTTACTTTTTCATCGCCATTGTAACTGCAAACAATTGCTAAACTAGGCAGTTGCTAAACAAGGACTACCAGTACAACAGTTCTACCTTTGTGTAGAATTAGACTTTCTGGGAAAATATAGCAGTGCTCAAAATAGTCCAATTTCTGCACAGGATAGGAAGTAAATGTATCTGTATTCTAACTAGATATCCCACACTGTTTTGATTATATCTAATTTAAGCACTTGTGGATGGGACCTACCATGAAAGCAGGAGATATCCTTAATTGTGGTAAAGCCAATACTTAGACATCACTCAATTCTTGTGGAGGGAAGGGGGGGAAACTACTGTACTAATAAATGCTGATTCCAAATATATGATTTAAGACATTGTAATGGCAAGTAATTGCAAACACAATAGTTCTGAGAAGTAGGAGGACGGTTATTCCACTACACATCTCATTAGGACCCCACTGTGAAAAACAGGAATTTGCCTTATAATGTTTATATCATAACATGTATGACTTTTTTCCTTACTTTTTTTAAAGCACAGAAAAGCAAAACCTTGTCAAATTACCAGTCTTCTCTTCATAAAATGTTACAATTCTAGAGCAGACCAGAATGATTTATCTTGGTTGGTGCACAAGGCTGTGTAGCTCTTACTTGTAGCCCCTTGATTCAATTCACTACATCAAAGCAGTTTTTGTTTTCATTCAGGGACCTGCTGCAACAGAATCAGTCAGCCAAAGCTTTGGAGTTTTGCACAGACCTCCTCATTCACATAAATTGTTCTCTTTACTGTATAAATCCTGCTTTTCCATTTCTTTTAGGGTTTGTGGACTTAACACTCCATGATCAAGTCCATCTATTAGAATGTGCCTGGTTAGAGATATTGATGATTGGCCTAGTGTGGAGATCTGTGGAGCATCCAGGAAAGCTGCTGTTTGCCCCAAACTTATTATTGGACAGGTTAGTTTACAATTTGGTGATGTTGTTGCTCTTGTTACTGCTGTTTCTGTTTCTGTTCACAATTAAAAGAAATACCATGCTGTGCAATGTAACTGTAGTCATTTTGACCTTCCATCCACTGTGCCACTGTTGAGATCCTACAGCCGAAAGGAGAGAAGGGTTACTGTAATAAAAATCACTTGCTAAAACATGTAATCTGTGCATTTACATGTCAAAGACTAGAGCTAGCTTTACGGTGTGTGCTAACTTATCTGGAATGCTCATTTTTTACATATTCAGTACATTTATGTCCCAGGCCATTTTGTTCTATCATGGACTTCAAGCTGGCACAAAGAGGGAGGATCAAGCTAGGCTTGGCAGATCCCATACCTGTTTAGCTTCAGTAAGATGGAAACACTTGTGCTTTCCAACCAATTCATTATCATAATGACAGGGTGGTGCACTACATATCTGTTTATCTCCATGTATGCATGTGTGTCTGTTACACACCCCCAAACACACACACACGCATTTTGATGCCCTTCCTTCAGCAATGCTAGAGGGGAGATATTAAAAAAACTTCTATCCAGAACTGCTGTGCTCCTGTGGGCATGGGGAGGTTGAAACAATTCAGTATGTGCTACTGGTTTATCAATATTATATAGCCATGTAGAAAATACCTGTATCACACCACTGCAAGTGGACTTCCCAGGTCATCCTAGATCTTTCTACAGCTCTGACAAGAGCTCCACCATAATGTATAACATAGCAACCTTTTGTGCGATGGCATGTCAAATCAGAAAGATATTGGTTCCTCAAAAAAACCCAGCAATTAAATTCCGCACCCACCCACCCACCCAAGGCTGGATTTTTTCCCCAGACCTCCTAAACTCCTTTATAATAACTTTTTTGGAACAGTTAGTAGCTTTTGTTTTGTGGCAGGGTTTTTAGATTCACTTTTTTATGAACTGATGTTTTCCTGTTTCACACATTACCTAGTATATTTTATATAGGATAATTTTATAATGGTTTTCGTTTTATTTTG